CCAAGCCGGTCGTGAATGGATGCAAGCTGTTGTTTTGTCAAGAGTTGCAAACCACGACGATGAAGATGCCACTGAAAACGGGCAGTTGCCCGTCCACGGCGCTCTCTTCTCCTCCGGGTTGGTGTTATCCTTGGATACAAAGAAGGTCACAAAGATGAACAGGAGCAAAATGGGCATGTAGTAGCCAAAGGAGAGGAGGATTATGGCAAAAACGTTCAGGACAATGTCAAACTGAACGAAAATGATGCCAAGCCCGATCTCGATGGCGTTGTTCGCTTGACCGTTGCAAGAAGGTGATGCTGGTTGGTCACTCCAGCAGAGCACAATGCTTTGATGCAGTCGCAAAGGAGCCGCACCAATGCACAGGAAGGCCACAGAAAAATGGCCCGCAGGCAGGTGGTCACAAATGCCCGCCCGCTCAGGTGAGGTACGAGGGTCTATTGGATGTCCCTCAGCCAGACCTTATTAATATGTATGTATATATATATAAATGTATATATGTAAATATATGTATATATACATATATCTGTATATATATATGTATATGAATACATACATATAAATGTATATATATATATATGTACCATATATATATATGTATTAGACATATATACACATGAACACAAACACATACAGCAGATGCAGACATATATTAAATATCCATACATGAAAATAAAATAAAAAAATATAATGTAATGTAATATAATATTATATATTATATAATAGTATGATATAATATATCATAATATAATATAATATAATAGAATAGAATATAATATAATATAATATTAGATTATATTTATACAATGATATACATAGACACTTACGAATAAGACGCATCTACTGTATTCACATGGATGCTTCAGTTCTTCCCCCCACTTTGCAGCTCTCCGTAGCCATTTGGCTTGACCGAGCCCGGGTTTTGCCATTTTGTTTGGCCCTGGATATGAATGGTTAGGAATGAACTATGGTGAATGGCAGTGAATAGTGGTGAATATTAACCATGATTCACACATATTAACCACTACTAACAATGGCTAGAAGTGGTTAATGACGATTCATTTTCTTTTTTCACATCATTGGATTGGGCTGTTCCCGATAGCGTATAGCGAAGGGTTCTCGTTTTACTTTGGGGGTCTGGGGGTGGACGTTGTTTTTGTGTTCGCAACCGTTTGCAACTGTTTGCAACCGTGGGCAACCGCTCGCGATGATTGCGCTATGGCCGTGCTTATGGAGAGTGCTGCAGAAGTGGTAACTTTTGAAGGTTTCAAACGTCGCGCAAGGTCGTTTCGTGTGGCCGGCGTGGCACTTCGTGAAATTCCAGCATGTTTCATAGCCTGTCAAAAATCGTTCTGTGTTTCAGGCGTTTTCAGAAGATGAGTTGCGTTTTTCGTCACAGGCGCCGCACTTTGGAGACCTCCGTCGTCATTTGCGTGGCAGGCGCACCACTTCAGACGTGCCGTGTTGCGTGTTTTGCGAATTGCATTGTCAGGGCTGCAACAAGTGATGGCACCGTGCAAATTCCGTGGCATGCGTGGGATTTTGTGACATGTTATGAAAATTGACGGAAGCCTCGCACGAAACACCCCTTTTGAGGAAGAAGATTTTGGGGTTCATTGGAAAACTCATAGGAACACGTTAATTTATTTTGTAGCTACAAAAGAAGATAGAGACGTCTCGTACGAAATGCTCGTTTTGAGGCTTTGCATGTCGATGTCTTCTCTCGAGTCTTTGGTTTTGTTCTGGCGTCTGCTTATGGGGGAAGGTGCAAAACCTCGCATTTTTGAAGGTTTCAAAAGAGGTTGTCATGCCGTTCTGCGTGGCAGGCGTGGCACGGCGTGACATTCTGATATGTTTCATAGTGTCTAAAATCGTTCTGTGTGACAGGCGCAATATACTTTTGCGTTGTTTTCAGATGCGTTGCATCTTAGGCGCAGCACTTTAGATGTGTGGTGCTGCGTGTTTTTTTTTTTCGAATCCCATTGTCAGGGCCGCGTCAATTGTGACAACGTTCAAGATCCTGTGGCAGATGTGGGATATCGTGAGAGTGCCTTTTTTGCGTGGCAGGCCTAGCATTTGGTGCAGATCCATCTTGTGTGGAATGTAATGTTGTGTAGCAGGCGCGGTCTTTGTTTGGGACACTCTACACTTAACGCTTTACACTCCTGACTCTACTTTACGCTATACTCACTCTTCACTCTTCACACTCTACACTTGAAACTCCGCACTCTACACTTTAAACTCCAAACTCCACACTGTACACTTTACACTCCAGACACCACACTCCACACTCCACAGTCTACACTTTACACTTTACACACCAATCTACAATTTACACTTGACAGTCCACACTCTACAGTCTGCACGCTACCCTTGACAATCCGCACTCCGCACTCTACACTTTACACTCCTTTTACACTCCTTTTACACTCCACACTTTACATTCCGCACTCTACACTTTACACTTTGCACTGCACACTTTACACTCCGCACTCTCCACTTTACACTCCAAGCTCTGCAGTTTGCACTCGGCACTGCACACTCCACAATCCCCACTTCATACCCTTCACACTACATTCCCCACCCAACCCTCCACTGTCTTTACGCTCCAAACTCTGCACTCCATCCCATTCCGCACTCCACAGTCTACCACACTCTACACTCTAGACTCTACACTTTACACTCCGCACTCTACACTTCACACTTTACCCTTGACACTCCACACTCCGCACTCTACTCTTTACACTTTACACTCCACACATTGCACATCACACCTTGCACTTTACACTCCACACTCCGCACTTTGCACTTGAGACTCCACACTCCACACTTTACACTCTGCACTCTCCACTTTACACTCCAATCTCTGCAGTCTGCACTCGGCACTGCACACTCCACAATCCCCACTTCATACCCTTCACACTACATTCCCCACTCAACCCTCCACTGTCTTCACGCTCCAAACTCTGCACTCCATCCCATTCCGCACTCCACGGTCTACCACACTCTACACTCTAGACTCTACACTTTACACTCCGCACTCTACACTTCACACTTTACCCTTGACACTCCACACTCCGCACTCTACTCTTTACACTTTACACTCCACACATTGCACATCACACCTTGCACTTTACACTCCACACTCCGCACTTTGCACTTGAGACTCCACACTCCACACTTTACACTCTGCACTCTCCACTTTACACTCCAATCTCTGCAGTCTGCACTCGGCACTGCACACTCCACAATCCCCACTTCATACCCTTCACACTACATTCCCCACTCAACCCTCCACTGTCTTCACGCTCCAAACTCTGCACTCCATCCCATTCCGCACTCCACGGTCTACCACACTCTACACTCTAGACTCTACACTTTACACTCCGCACTCTACACTTCACACTTTACCCTTGACACTCCACACTCCGCACTCTACTCTTTACACTTTACACTCCACACATTGCACATCACACCTTGCACTTTACACTCCACACTCCACACTTTGCACTTGACACTCCACACTCCACACTTTACACTCTGCACTCTACACTTTACACTCCAAGCTCTGCAGTTTGCACTCGGCACTTCACACTCCACAATCCCCACTTTATACCCTTCACACTACATTCCCCACTCAACACTCCACTGTCTTTACGCTTCAAACTCTGCACTCCATCCCATTCCGCACTCCACAGTCTACCACACTCTAAACTCTAGACTCTACACTTTACACTCCGCACTCTACACTTCACACTTTACCCTTGACACTCCACACTCCGCACATTACACCTTGCACTTTGCTCTCCACACTTTACACTTTACACGGCCGACACGTTACCAACTTTACACTCCACGCTTTACACTCCACATTCTGCACTTTGCACTTGACACTCTGCACTCTACACTTTACACTCCAAGCTCTGCAGTTTGCACTCGGCACTTCACACTCCACAACCCCCACTTCATACCCTTCACACTACATTCCCCACTCAACACTCCACTGTCTTTACGCTCCAAACTCTGCACTCCATCCCATTCCGCACTCCACAGTCTACCACACTCTACACTCTAGACTCTACACTTTACACTCTGCACTCTACACTTCACACTTTACCCTTGACACTCCGCACTCCACACATTACACCTTGCACTTTGCACTCCACACTTTACACTTTACACTTTGCACTCCACACTTTACACTCCACACTCTAAACTTTATTCTTGACACTCCGCACTTTACACTCTACACTTTACACTTGACCGCACTCTACACTTTACACTTCACACTTTACACTCCACGCTTTACACTCCACATTCCGCACTTTGCACTTGACACTCCACACTCTACACTTTACACTCGACACTTCACAGTCCACAAACCCCACTTCATACCGTATACAAACCTACACATTGCAGTCCTCACTCAACACACCCTCCTGTCTTCACACTCCACGCCCTGCACTCCACCCCCGGTCCGCACTCCACAGTCTACACTGGTACAGTAGCAGGGGAAAAATGTACAAAACTGTTGAAATAACTTGTTTCACAGAAGTGTTTTACGGGACTGCATTCGAGTTCGTTGGTTGCTCTTGTTGTTTTTGTTGAGGACACCCCGATAGATTTTGCATGGGAACAAAACCATGGTATCCTGCAGATTTTGGCGTAAACCAATACAATGATAACAGTGGTTGGAAGTGGAGCTAGACATATGGATTGGATCAACATGTATCATACCATTTCAGAGGGAATGCACCGAAACACAATCCCAAACTCTTTTGTTGTCTATTATGATGTGAACCATATCTGCTTGAATTATTACAAGTAGGAAGATAAGATCATGCCCCACAGACCGCGAGAGAAAGCGTATATTCTGATGTAGATATTGTTCATTGGGGTTGATTTACACGCATGTTTTTACTTTGCATACACAGATTCATGCTGGCGATACGACGATAGCCCGGGGGCTCACTGCCCCGCAACATCACGCGACTACAAAAATGCCGGCAGCGAGACCCTCGATGCGATCCCGACGCAAGGCGCTGTTTCTGTTGTGGGACCCCCAAGCATTTTTTAGATTTTAGAAGGGGACAGGGTGAAGTATATGGAATGGTTCAGTGCTTCAGCAGGTTGTGAGAAATTGATTTTGGTGGAACCCAGAACTTGTTTTCCCGGCATCGCAGCGCACTTGTCGGTGCAAGGTTGACGACTATAGCGAGGATTACAGTGACTACTACAGTGATGAGTGCGCGACAGTGGCCAAGTGGCGCTAGTGCGTCTCCAGACTCTGCGAGCAATGACATGCCCTGTGCTAATCGAACCTGGCAGTGAAGTGTCCCCAATATTTGGTGGCTCACCCAAGTCAGCAAGTGGGTTCGCTCCAGTTAGTTCAGTAGGCTAAGTAGGGGCAATGTCCACTTATAACGGGTGTGATATTTATTAAATGCCCCACTTACGATTCCTTGGATGACAGGCATCAAGTACCCATTTGTAGATGGTTCGTCTAGGTACACCCGCAGCGGGCGGACTGTCTCGCGGAGCGTTTCAAGCAGCAGGAGCAGTACCCGTGAAACGAAGCAGAAACACCCAGGATGAGTTTAAGAGCTGGTCGGTTTATCACGTATTTTTGATTGTATACACACACACACATACACACACATACATAAATACATACATGCAAGCATGCATACAGACAAACATACATTCATTCATACATACATACATATATACATACATACATTCATACGTGCATACATACATACATGCATGCATGCATGCATACATACATACAGACAGACATACATACATACATACATACATACATACACACATACACACATACACACATACACACATACACACATACACACACACATACATACATACATACATACATGCAAGCATGGATACAGACAAACATACATTCATTCATACATACATATATACATATATACATACATACATTCATACGTGCATACATACATACATGCATGCATGCATGCATGCATGCATACATACAGACAGACAGACAGACAGACAGACACACACAGACAGACACACACAGACAGACACACACAGACAGACAGACACAGACAGACACACACACAGACAGACACACACACAGACAGACACACACACACAGACAGACACACACACA